CCTCTCGAGGGTTCAAAGCTTTTTCATGTAGACAAGAGAGGCACAGTCATTATGCGGATGCGCAGGTTATTTCATCTCAACATTTCTCATGCGGATTGGCCACTGCTATCTGAATGTGAGGATCAGATAGATGTGACTGTGTTCTGACCATCTGTTTTCCAGGTCATAAGAACCAGTTTCCTGATTTCTCTGAACTAATCTGCTGATGGTAAAAGCAGAATGTCTCCTTTTCAGGACAGTTTCTCTCACACACATTGAATTCAATGATGCCGATAATACGTTTATCACTTGAACTGCTCTGTTTCTCTCTATATTTCACTGTTCTTACATTAAGTAAACTTGTCTTTGTGAAGCGTTTCTTGTACAGATTCCTTATCAGCCTTTGTTTGTGGCATTTAATTAGAATACTAAGCACTGAGCATCTGATTTCTTTTTGAAATCGCATGACTTGAGCTCAGCAGTTTCTTACTCCACAAAATGATACTACTCAAACAATCAACAAAACGTTTTGCTCACAATTTAAGATGGAAATAATGTGTGGGTACAATTGAGCTACTGATATACAAGACTGTTGTGTTCTTATCGTGCAGTAGTACACAGCTGAACCAGTAATCAGATCAATTGAGAACTGAAGATAGTGTACAGTACCAATTAAAAGACCCCTGTGGATCTCCAGAAACATACTGTAGTGATTTTTGGTTTGGTTTGTTGAAGTAAAATTCTCAATGGAAACGAACATGTCAGGAAGTTGACAAGCATTGGCAGTACTGTATGTTTGCCGTTGCTGTAACAAAAGGAGATCACTTGTGCAATAAAATAACTTCTCTTTAACAAAGTGATAATTTGCTGTTTTCCATTTAAGAACATTTGTCGAGCAATGTCAGAATAGTTTCTTGTTCTTGATGTAGGGTATTACGTTGTTTATAAGCCCAGTGTGTGTTTTATATATCTAGACACCTATGACAATAAGCAGCTGTGACATCATAACAGGTAGTTGTTCTCTTTATCTGGCTCATCTATCTGTGTTTCCTGGTCTCCAATCAGTCCCATTCAAATGAAGAATTTAAATTAATATACCGTATGTTCAAATGCTCCTTTAGAGAGGTGTATGCCCAATCTGCTTTCTTTTTCCATAGTTAAAGCACAGCGTGCAAGAAAATCCTTAAATTGAGAACACTGGCGTTCGTATTTTCCTGTGCACTAATGTATGTAACTAAGCAGCGGTCCATTGTTCACGATAAAACAAAGAGCAGGCACAGGCAGACAAACGGGTAAGTAACAGGTGGCTGTAGCGAACGAAACACAGTCCAGAATCATAGTCAGTGAAGAAGCCCAGTTCAACGCTGGAGAAACACAGTGAAGGCACAAATGAACTACTGTACGCGAAAGCTGAGGTCCAATTAAGCTATTCAGGTTTGTAGCCATATGTAACAGCATTGAACATGCAATCAGTATTATTCAATTTTTCTTTAATATTAATTATCTATTTACTTCCTTCTTTTACTTTTTTGCTTTGTGGAGTAGTGTAAAGTCAGTTGTGTATCTAACACCTATTGAAAGTTCCTGACTGCAAGCTTTAAAGCAACAAAAGGTGATCACTTTGTTAGGCACTGTAGAAAATGTCTACAGACTTGTTAACAGGGGAGGGACGAGCATCTTAAGAAACGATTCCTGTAGAAAGTAGCAAATAGTGCTAAAGAAGAGAAACACCTCACAATGAGTCAATTAGATTTGATTGCAAAATGTGATGAATTAGGTTTAATCACTTGCTCGTGTCTAGTTTATCTTGAAACGTTCTACTTAGGGTTTTGAATATACTACTTGATGTGAAGTAAACACTGGATGACGAGTTTCTTCTCACACAAAGCAAGCTGTATTAATAACAGTACAACTTGTTATAATAGTAAAGAAATTAGTGGAGGCTTTGAGTAGTTTGTGATGATGATAACATGCTCATACTGCAACCCCTGACTGTGTTTAAGATGCCTAAGGTATTTCTACAGTATATGCAGTAAATACCCTTTTTAAATTCATTGGTTTGTGACATCTATTGTACTGTCCAGGAAATTCCATCTTTAAGCAGTTCTCACAATGTCTGCATTTTCAAAGCAGCTTTCCTGTGTAAAATTTTCAAGACTTAGACAACATAGATGTAGTATTCAGTCCCTATTTATAGTGCTTATCTCATATCAGTGCATGTGTTGCATAAGACCTTTGACAAGCACATTGTCCCCTCTGATGTTAGAGAACTGAAACTTGTGTTTTATATCACTTCATGTACAGTACTAGCTTTCCAGCAGTACTTTATTTTGTTGCTCACAGTGGAGCTCACAGTGATCATGGAGCATGTTAAAAAGTTTTTTTTCTTATATGCAACTTTTGATATCCCCCCGAGGGAATCATGTGGCCTGTAGTCCTTTTATCTGTGCAAGGGCCGAGTGTGAGAGGCAGAATGATAAAATCTCACGGCACTATAAAGAAATAAACATTAATTATCATATAATACACATTCTATTATATTATTGGAGTTCACTGGAGTAAATGTTCAGCTTCTTATGTAAACACTCACATACACCATTCAGGGTATTTGATCATCTCCTTACTATCAGAGCAAAATTAAAAATGCTCTAAGCATGCCAACTGTTGTTAACCGGAAAAATCTGCAAGAATTATACACTGTACATGTATCTTAGCCTATGTATAACTAGTATAAAAGGTATGGAGCAAAAAACCTTTGTTAAAGAATCAAAGACTGCTAATCTTTGATCAATTGAACACACCTGATATGACATGAAGCCACCAAATAAATTTATACCTGACACACTATCTCAACAGTTTGTTGACCCTGGAATCCATCTGAAATCACAATGGTTTCTCGGCTGCATAATTTACTGTTATTAATTCGTTTCCTTTGCTGCTACAACCATTTGCTGAGCAAGGGTGTGATGAAGACTCTTTCCACGATGCAAGAGCATGGCACAGGCTGCAAAGCTTGTGGAAGAAATTGTGCTACAGCAGTGTGAGCAGTAGCCTGCTGTTCAATGATATCACATGAGCTCTTTAGCATGTTCCATTATCAATAGGATTGTCATTATCAATACGCTTTTGTGGTAGTAGAAGTACCCCAGTTTAAAGAGGCAACTTGGGTGCTATTCATACACACACCATAACTACAGGACCTGTAAGATGTGATATGTCACATTGTATCACCTAGGGCGGGAGCACAGACGCAACAGTACTGCCACCACCAGTACGATGAGTGAAGCAGTGAAGTGTTTGAAAAGAAGTTCCTTTCAACTGCTCAGCATTTTTCAGCTTCTCTCTTCCTCTTTTGTTTGCTTATGTCTGTGTTTTTCTTTTCCTTTGGTCTGGGAATTAAACCCCCCCCCCTCCCAGCTGCTGAGGCCGAACTCATTGTCACCTTAGTTTCCCTTACAGGAAAATTCTTGTTGGACTCCACTTGTCTTTTGGAGAAGTGACAAACCCTGATGAGTTGAATAGCCTTTTGTAAACTTTCTCATGTTCTCAGTGAGATACAAATGTTTTACTCTTAATGCCAATGGCACCTGAGAGCTCCCACATTCTGCCATTCAGTGAGCCAGAACTCACCTGTGTTCACTTTAGATTCCAGAAAGCCATGCACCTGAGAAACTACTGTATATCAGATATTCCAGACATCAGTTTAGATTATTTAGATTAGGTTTGACTCAATCTTCTCAATCTCAAACTTCTTTACCAATTGTCTGATCGTGTGAGCTGTAAGAGCTCTTAACACAACTAAGAAGACAAAGTATCTACCTGCTAAACCCTTTCCAATAGGGCGGTGTTATATTATATGGGTCTTTGTACAGTATATTTTATCAAAGGACAGCAGTACCACTAAATTTACACTACAACGCAAACAAGCCTACATGTTTTAATTGATCTGTTTTAGGTATAGAAATATCAATTTGTTCATAGGCTTAAAATTTCATGTAAGCATTTTTTCTGTGATGTTTATTTTTATTCTGATGTTATTTTCTGCCAGGGGAATTTGTGTCTGGTTCCTGCATGTGGTCTGAGCTTCCTTGTTTCTTTCATCACTGTGCAATTTAGATACTGTGCTACTAAGAATGTGTCGTGAAATGGCAGAAACTTCACAGAGAGTCTGGATTTCAGATCAGACTGTGACCAACTGTGCTGTGTAATTTTTTTCATGATCACCTGCGCTGCTCAACAGCTTCAGTTGTATTTATTTATTTCACGTAAGTTCTAAAAATCCCACACACATTTAGGTAGCTCACTAAAAATGATAATACAAAGTTTCTACCTGAACGATCAACATTGCAAATAAATTAGTTATTGTCATGATACAAAGAAAACTTTCAATCACAAATCAATATGTAACTGGTCAGGCTTCAGCTCTCAGGTTAGGGCAAGTTCAGAAGCATGATATATAAAATATACAGTGAAATATAAGCCACCTTTGTGTATCCTTTCCTGAAATGCAATAACCCAATTAAGATAAAACCTGCAAAATTCTGGAAGGGAAGAGTAACTCCTGAAGTTACAACACTGTGACATTGGAGGAATTAAAACTGATGCATTGTAACAGGAGTCCTTCAGTGAGTTATGCCCCCTGTTGCAAAAGAAGTTGAAATATAGTCTGACAGAAACACAGCTGCAAAGGGAAATCTCTACGATACCTGAAAAGGTCTCAGCAGTTTTTGCACATAATCCAGCTATAGTCCAGCCATCTAATCCATTATTAATATATAACCCATTATAATATATATATATAATATAATCCAGCTACTGTATAAGATGGAATCGGAAAGGAAAAGGATACCGTGTGTCCCTGCAAGTGCTGTCTCCTTCCTCTAGGTGGCACCACAACCTTACTGTTCATAGTACAACATTTAAAAGTACAATGACTCTGAGGTCTATGATCTTTAGAAACCAGAGATAAGAGGGGTAAATAATAATTGACTGTCCTAAGCTGGGAAGTTTAAAAAGAGAAAACTAAACTTTGTGATTTTTTTGTTTAAAACATATTCTCGGGTCTACGTTCAACAGTAACATTGAGACTCTTGGAAGCACAGTTTTCTTCTGAAGTTTGTTGAGAATAAGACGTTAATGGAGCAGGTTAGTGTATCATGTTTTTGGGTTACTTTTTACTTATTGTGCTAAAGAAACACCCCTGCAAGATGGGCTTTGTAAAGACTCCAAGTTTTGTTGGTAGGGGGTAGATGTGGAGAAATCGCCAAATCATCCTCTTCCACAGTTCCAGTCGAGGCTGTGCATTTGTCACATTTTATATCTTCAGCTGGAAGCTACTTAACAAGCTGTTATTAAACAGTACATACATTGTCGGTCTTTGATCAATTAAATTATTCAGCAAGTGGTTTCCTGATTCCATGATTTTATTATACTGTAAGCCTGATGAACCCTAATCATATGGCTTTCAATCTTCTGTTTCTTAGATTTTTGGTATTGGTTTATTATTGCCTTTTGGTCATGGTCGAAAGTCAAATTACAGATTGTGTAAAATAGACAATATCCTTACTTGAAGAGCATATCAGGCGAGTATTCTGTTGTAACTGGTACATTTTTCTGTCGTTCTAAGGCTTTCATTGAACATATCCATTCACAACTGCAATCATTCCTCATAAGGAGAAGAGTATTTTCCAGAAAGTTACCTTAATACATACATTGATAGCACCTTGTAGCCTGATCCTGTCAGATCTCAGAAACTAAGCAAGGTCCGGCCTGCACTGGGACAGAAGACACCAGGTTACTGTGATATTGGTGAACCAATAGTGGGAGCTCTTCCCTCTGCCAGATTATCAAAACTAATAACAGCAATGGTGACTAGGGATTAGTGATGTACAGTAGGAGGTGCCATCCATTTAATGAGACTTCAAATCCAGGTCTTGGCAATGTTTATGAAAACCCAGGAGTTAATCCCATTTCCTTGGCTAAATTCCACTCTGGACTTGTACAATCTGGCCTTCTCTTAAATTTCCCCTTAGTTCAATCGGAGAAGCATTTTCTCATGTCTCTGAATGATCTGCTGTGCAGTGGGGCTGCTTCTGCAGAACAGCTGCCACATATCACCCAGGTGATATATGAACTTGAGAGCTGAACTTGATAGGGGAATGAAGAAGCTACCCTTCTGTGTGACAAGAGCATTGGCATCCTGTGGGATAAAAAGACATTTGAAAGTTTATTATTAATATTACTGACAATAATAATAAGAAGAAAATAAAAATACAGTGTGTTCACAGACTCACATACACTAGTACAGCTCTCACCAATTAAACTGTCTTTGGCTAAAATGGTCCCTCGCATTCACAAGGCAGTCTTGCCAGTCTCTGCAGTGTTCAGTGTCCAGTTTTCAGTGCCACACCAGAATAAACCTCACTGAGCATACTGCAGGTACTGTAATTGTGTCTACAATGTGACATGGCCCAGGAACTGGCAAATGAGTGAGTACTCAAAATACTTATGCCCCTTAATGTCTGCAGCACGATTCAATGGGACAAATTTGAAATCTTGCTCACTTTGTACAGACCAAAAGTAAGAAATGCCTAACTAAAACCAAGGATTTGTTGAATTCCTCTTCCTGTGCTGCTTTGTTTTTTTGTCATTTACGAGAACTATGTGAAACTGTATCCTGTGTGAAATAGTGATGTTAGCAATAGTTTCACCACTTGAGCCAACTTCCCTAAACATGAATTTGCAGGCACACGCTAATAGCAAGCAGAGGAGCTGTTTTTCCTGATCTTGTTGTCATTAGTAAGTACAAACGTTTTGCTATTTTGTAGGGATTCAGGAATTATTAACATTACCATTCCTCAAATATGTGTGCATAACTTAATATATGAAATGTTGTTGTACCAATAGTTTTATTTTTCTGTTTTGTGCTCAATGAAAATCATTCTAATAATTATTTGGTTTTAAACAATCCAGTGTTTACCAGCTCTAGTGACATGAGACTAGTTTGGATTGATTTTTTATTGTTTTCACCAGGAGCTCTAAGTTTAACTTAAGCTTGAGAAAGTTGCGAGAACTGTATTATATGGACTTCTGTGAAAACACACTGTTTAAAAATGACAACACTGTACAATGGCTTAGTATTTCTGCCTAAAGTTTCTGTGCTGAACTGTCAATACATTTTATTTAATCCAATCAATTAATTATTTATGTCCCTCAGGAATAGAGCATCTTAACAGCTGCTTATGGGTTTTATTGCATCAAAAGCCTCACACCAGAGATCAGGTGTATAAGATATTTAAGTTTGGCAGGTAATCATATAGAGATCAGGTGTATAAGAGTGTTCAGATGGCCAGATAACCATTGAGAGATCAGGTGTATAAGAGTGTTCAACTGTCCAGTTAACCATTGAGAGATTGGGTGTATAAGAGTTGTTGGCTGGCCAGGTAACCATGAGCGATCAGGTGTATAAGAGCTGTAACACTGTCGGATCCCTGATGTGCACAGAAACAGATTAAAACAGCTGACAGAAGTAAGGAAGAGGAATAATGAAAGAATGTCATTTCTTTCAATATTGAGAAACATGTCATTTCTGTACATACTGCATCACGTATGATGATGAAATATAATTTTTCGGTCGTTGATTGGCTGTATTTCTTCACCTTGGAGAGTGACACAGCAGAGTGTTAAACAAGTAATAATTTTGATTGCTGCCCCAACACTGTACAGTTCAGAACTTGTCAATTACATCTCTTTGCTGTCTCCATAGGGGTAATTACTTTTGCTATAAAACTGTAGTTTTTTTTATCTGATTCAGCCTGGGGGACAAACAAAAATTGGGGCCTGTCCTATTTAATGTTTGTCACACGTGACACATTTTGTTATGTCAGTTCTCATTCAGTTGCTCGCAATCTAAAAGATTCTTATTAGAAGTTGGTCTTTTTAATTTTGCAGGAGAGTCGCACATGCCCTCTCCTGTCTTGTTGGAGGTCATCTTAAAGTCTGTCCCAGCACTTACATTTCACACTGCTGTTTTATTCCATTCAGAAATAACATTCTCTTGTTTGGTTAGTCATATAGCAGAGATGCACAATACGAAATAACTACCCTTTATCAACCTTAGCAGTTTTATTTAAGTTTTTGACAACTTTAATCAAATTTCCTCTTGGCTGTTCTTTACTGAGTGTGAAAAGAGTGCAGTTTTTGTAACAGAACGGCAGGCTCATTATTAATGTTCACTTGTAAAATATATTCATGATTACTAGAAGAATTAATAAACATTGCAGAAGCTGTATTCATAAGGATTTACACAAACTATAGGACTGGAAAAACACCTGGCTGTTTTAATATAATGTAAGGAATTGCATGTGGCTATGAGGTATGACCTCATTCAGAATATTGCCTACAGTTTTGGTCACCAAGATACAAGAAAGCAGTTCGCTTTGGAATAGGTTCAGACAAGAGCAAACAGATATATCCTACAAAGGTAGGCTGAAAGAGCTCAATCCTTTCAGTCCTGAACAGAGAAGACTAAGAGTGGATCTCAACCAAGTATTCGAAACACTCAAGGTTACTGACCTCATCAGAAGACCATTGACAAAGTCAGTCCACTGGACTTCTTCAATATCAACAGTGAAACACAAACCAGTTGATGTCAGTGGAAACTACAGTACATGGAAGTGTATTTAGACCTGAGAACAGGAGACACCTTAATACACAAAGGCTTCTGTGAATATGGAAAGAACTGCCCAATCATGTTTTGATGTTGGTATCATGAAGCTAATAACTGATACCCTTTTTTCCAGAAATGGTTAAACGAGTGTTATGCGACAGTCCCTGTGGTTTCAGGGCTGTACAGTAGCTAATGGCAAGCCAAGCTCAAAGCGCAGGTTCACAGAGGAATCTTCAGTGGGAGCTAGGTTTTAATGATAAAGTAATAATGCAGGCTGATTGAGAAATTAAGCTGTCTGAATTATTACTGAGCAGGAAAAGGCTACCTAGGTGCACAGAGAAGCTGGCTTGAATAAAATTGTATGAATTAAGACTGAACAGTAAAAAAGGCTGCATTGATGCACAATTGACCAGGCCTCTCTGTAGTTTATACTGTAAGTCTGTCATGTCTCTACAGTACAAAAGGATAAAGGCAATCACAGAGATAAGACATTGTATAAGAAAGTAGATTGGGCAAAGATGACTGTCTTCCAGCTCCCACTGTCAGCAACATCGTGTACTTTATCAGAATCATTTCAGGCATGCTGAGGGTTACCTGACCACTGCATGGACCCAATTCAAAGGGAACTGTAGTTTTTCGTATTTCCTGTGAGTGGATTTGTTACTAGCTTCAGCACAATTTGCTATTAAGGACACTTGCAGGAAGGAAGTAATTTAAATTAATGATCGTATTATACACGACCTCCTGAAATCAATTTTGATAACTGGCAGCTGGAGTATATGCAGACGATTCTGTTAGCTCATGTCACTGATCAGCATTCTGTTTATTTATTGTTTTAACCATCTTTGTATTGGTTTCATTTGTATTTGAAAGCATTCCACAACTTTTTATCAACTGGGACTTTATTCAGTTTTACGTATTCAATTTGCAACCTGGTATAATTAAAATATGTTGTGTGTGTGTACAATGTGCAATCAGTTACTCTGGGAAGTTTTATATGTGTTACAACAACAACAATAATTAATAATAATATAGTGTTTCATCATGGTAATATTCATCAAATGGTAATTTTACTCTAGATTCAAATTGCAATTACATATCATTACTGCTCCTACCAATACTGCTCCACCTTAATATACAATTTAATTAAATATAATTTCCTACTAGTGCTGTGCACTTTTCAATTTCCAGAAAAGCCAAGAACACTCTGTCTGACTCGACGCCTCCACCCCTTGATGCTCTCAGCCAAGAGTTCATTGCCTGCTGGGAATCACAACTTTAGGGCACAGTTTGAGCCCCCACAGAACTATCCCTACTGACTGACCTAGGAAGCACTGCTCTGCTTCCTTTCCAATGTATTTTCTGAAGAATGAGAGAATATTGTGTCCCTGTTAATAAGTACTGCTTTCTAATTGATAAACACTGTTTTAAACGTCCCTGTCAAAGCAGACTTTAACAGGGAATAGTTTAAATGAAAAGGTGCCATGTTAAAAAAATAACTTAATTATCTGTGGTTTTCTAATGTCACAATTATTTACACTTTTATAGGAAAGAATTGTGTATTATTACGGTTTTAAATAGGTTGAAGTGTGCAATATTCTTTTAATAAATTCTCCTGCACATGAAATCACAGATCTTATTGCCAGTTGATATCTGACTTCTCATGCTGCTGTTTATCTTCTGGTTAATGACCAGCCAAAGTGATGGGTTCTGTCAGTTTTCACAGCCTGCAGAAAGGCTGTGCTTCAGACCCAGTCTCCCTGTATACTACAAGTGCCTGACCCTTGTCTGGATCCTGGAATGGGAGAAATCTCATCTTTAAAAGAATGTTTTATACAGTATATAGAAGCCCTTGGTGAGCTTCCTCCAAATTTTAAAATCCGGAAGGAAACACACCTCCTAAATTCTTGTTCATCACTAACTCATAACACATGTTCCTCCTTTGTGATTATTGACACCGCTTATGATACTGAACAATGCAGGAGATGTGCATTAGATAAGGTAAGGAGAAATCATCTGTAATTATCTTCCAGCTTCAATATACAGCAGAAACGTAGACGTTCACCATAGATTACAGAAATGAAAAAGTCCTTAACTAAGTAGCAATTATCAGTTTGCCAAAATGGACTGCTTATCTCCAGCCTTTTTTAGGGATTAAGGTGAATCTTTAAATAATCTGCTTGCAAGCAACAAACACTTCCTGTTTGCTAGGCTCTTCTTTAAAGATTCCCACTGGAGGGCCCCCACTTTGTACAAGTTTGAAAATTTACAAGTGATTGGGGGACCCAACTGAAAACAACCCTGTAAAATTTGAGACTACCTTGAGTTCCTCTTCATGTGTCTGTTTTATGCTGTGCTGTTTTGAAATAAAGCCACATTGTCAAGTAAACATGAAAGGAGAATTTTGATTCACAGGCTACCGTACTTCTGCTGGTTACTGTATACAGTATTTAACTCTTTCTGAAACAAAAGATTGTTCAGTTTAATTTTCTTCTGCAATTCTAGTGCACTCAACTGAACCTCACTCTTGAGTAAACATGAACTTGAACTTGAACTTGAACTTTATTGCCATATGTAACCGGTACTGGTACAATGGAATTCTTACTTACAGAAAGTCTCTCGATTGTAAAATAAGTGTAAAAAACAAAACAAAGTGCAAACAGTGCATCAAGACAATGTACAAACAAACAATAGACATACAGTAACATGTTGCCAGGAAACATAACAGGAAAAAGCCATGGTAGAAACAACACTTTAATGCTTAAAAATGTGAATCTTTAATGCTTAAAATCTACACAAAAGGTAAAAAAACAAATCCTAATATTGCTTGGTTCCTCTATTGTTATATGGGTAGTTATTAAATTATTGCTGTTTTTAAGTTCTCATAATTGAATTGCCCCTGATAAACATGCATGTATAGTACAATACTGTACCCAAAACTGACTTTTAGAAGATCAAAAAGACGATCTTGACAGAATAACTGCTGTTAGCCCAGTGTGGTGGTGATAACCACCCCACGGCTCTGAAGGTGACACACAGGAAGGCACATACCGCATACATCAAGCTAGCCAATGAGCTTGAAAATTATTTTCATACCAGAAGCCAGTTCACAGTTTTGCATCATCTTGAGCCCCTGCCCATTTGCATTTCTTAAGGAGTCCTCTTTTTTATATCTCATTTGCAGGACAGCAAGGCGGATGTGAAGGCTATCATGGCAAAGTTCAACACCGGTAACAGCCCAGCTGAAGCAGTTCCTGGGAGCCGACCCAAAGTGTCTGTTCAGCCTACCAAGTCCGTAGGAACTCTACAAGCTAAGAGAGCTGCGCTTGAGGGCAGTCTTTCTGGGAGTACTACCTCGAACACCCCACCCAAGCCAAATTTCCTCAAAAGCTCAGGACCTCCAAAAACCCCAGATGAAAAAAATGACAAGGATCCTGCTTTCCCGAAACTTAAACCAACTGCAAACAAGTTTGGGGGCAACCAAAATACTCTGGAGGAGGGCAAACCCGCTTTTCCAAAACAGCCCCTCAAGCCCAAACTTTCAGAGGCACCAAAGGAGAGTGAAGCCAAGCCAATGTTTCCTAAACCTCCGCTGCAAAAGGCCACTGGCAGTTCTAACCTTCAAGATAAAGAGACCAGGCCAGCAGTTCCAAAGCCTGCTGCTGTTTCCAAGCCTCCCTGGCTCACAGACACTGCTAAGACTGGGGAGACCAGCACGACCAGTGCTACCCCACCCAAAATGCCTCTTGCTCCCAAACCTAAGAGCTCTTTTAAGGTCTTGAAAGCACAAGCTGACGAAGGCAACACAACTGATCCAGCAGCCAAACCATTTTCTGGGGTCTCCCTGAAACCTTCTGGTGTTAGGAGTGTCCAGAGCAACTTTCTAAAAGATAACAGTGAAGTGAGCGCCAGCAACAACAAAAGCGAAGATGTTCCGAAAACAGACACCAAACCTCTAAATGCCCGGAATGCCTTCCTTGCCAAGCTGAACCAGGACAGCTCGGATGAGGCAGCACCCTCCCGCAAACCTCCCCCCCAGAAGCTGAACTTTGCAGCGCACAAACCGGACTTCCCAAGAAAACCAAGCGCACTTGGTGCTCAGAAAGAAAACAGTGACCCTTCAGCCCCTAAACGGAACCCTTTGCCCAATATATTTGCTCTGGGGTCTCCCCCAGCAAAGCCAAACAGGCCTCCCAATGTAAACCTGGAGCAGTTTAAAAAGGGCGCAGAGTCCGCGACTGACGGTAAGTCTTGCCTCAGCTAGTCTGAAACGGTTTGCAGTTCAGCTGTTTACCCTGGCAGTAGTGGGAAGTAGTGAGTCTTTTTGTGTTTCAGGTGGAGAAATTGAAACTGTTGAGTGTTAGTAAGATACGATCACTTTATTGGCCATATACTGTACAATTTGTTGTTTTAGGAATTTGTCTTTTTTGCATACCCCAACTTGCTCTCCATGAGACACACAGACAGGGAGAGGAGCTTGGGGTCAGAGCTCAGGGTCAGCCATTTTATACAGCAACCCTGGAGCAGTTGGGGTTCAGGGCCTTACTCAGGGGGCCCAACGGAGTAGGATTCCTCTGCCAGCTGCAGGATATGAAGCCACAGAGCCACTGCACAGCCCCAGTGAGGAATCAGCGCACACAGATCTCTAGAACTGCACCCCTTCACTACAGCTGTGTTATGCAGGCAGTTCAGAATTGTACAGGATTAAATCTTTTTCCACAAAAAAATTATGTTTTCCTTGGATCATTGTACCTGCACAAGAAGTCAACAAAGGCATCCATTTTCTAACTTCATCCACTTTAGGGTTGCAGGGTATTTATCTACATACAACTTAAATGCCGTATATGCACTGTTGACACACCTTTGCATTTCTTTAACACTTTATTGTAATTGGAACATTCTGCTCAACGTAAGAAAAAGAAACATAGTTTTCTCCGCAGCTGCCCAGTCATTAGTGAGTGATTGTGGGAGACAATACTGTATATTCTTATATTGCTGATCCAGTAATAACACAACAGTAGGAATTTAATCAAATTGGTGATTATTTTAGCAGGGATCTTGTGTGTTTCCTGAAATATTTAGAGGTTCAGAGAATTCCTTGGTGTTACATTCTTACTGCTATATGAAAGAGTGTACGCAACTTTCCTTTCTCTAATAAGCTCAGCGAGTTACTAAATCATTGCTTGAGAATGTGAAATTACCTTCTTTTGCAATGTGTTAGGTAACTAACAGGCCCAAAGAACAGCAGTTCAGGTGGGTAGCTGCGTCAGCATGCGTATGCTGCAAAGGAACAAGTAATAAGTTTATTCCATGCTGAAAAAAAGAAGAAAGAGAACACAACATTTCGGCCATGGAGACTTCTTCACACCTGAAGAAGGCTCCACGGCCGAAACGTTGTGTTCTCTTTCTTCTTTATATCAGCATGGAATAAACCAATTACTTGTTCCAAAGAACAGCATACATGTACAGTAGCTCTGAGGAACAAATGCTGCAGAATGTCTAAAATTAACAACATAAAAAATAGACAGAAATATAGTAGCCTATTATGGAGTACATAGCATGGTCCAGGTCTCTGCAGGAGCTCTCTACTGTAAATGATCGAGGCTTCTGGTGTTCGAGGTCTACGGGGAACGCCGACTATGCTGTTACTGGCCCCAGTGTGTGGTAGCAGGTCACACGCTAATTGAGTCTGTGGTCAAAACCCGAACTCAAGCCATTTGCTTCAGAGACCTCAGGCCCTACAGACAGGTGTTAAACTGCTGCACCTCTAAGGAAACCCAGGTTACTGTTGCATGTGGTAGTGGGCCAATAGGTGGAGCTCTCCCTTCTAAACCACAATTTCCAAACCAATGCCCCAGTAAGGTGCCCAGGGGCACTCTACTGAAGTCCTTCAGATAAGACCTTAAGCTGAGGTCCTGAATGTTTGGTCATTAAAAGGCCAGTAGCACAGAGAGAGGTGTTAACCCAGGTGTCCTGGCTAAATTCCACTCTGGGCTTGACCTCCCTAAAGCTCCCCCTCAATTCAATATGGTGTCACCCATGTGCCGGTGTCACCCATGTGCTGCACTTCAGTAGTGAATGAAGTGACTCCCCACCTACAGTACTGTATATGAAAAGCACTTTGAGATCCTTTGAGATCCTCAAAAACACTATATGCATGAAAGGCATTACCATTGAGCATTCTACTGTACCTGCTCAATATGCATGGAGAAACCCTTTAAGCACATAACCTACATTCCCTGGGAAGAGTAGGTTCTGTACAAACACACATTGTGTCATATAAGTTATATTTTGAACTTTGCATTCAAATTAGATTTAGTAACGGTTCCAGCTTACTGTTTTGAGACTTACTTTTATTGTCAATGAATCAAACCATATATAACCTCACCACAGTAATTTTCACAGTTAGTGGTAAATGCAAAGCAGACTGAATTTTTGCACAGAAGATCCCTTAACAGGTGCCTTTTAATTGAATAGAAAGCTTCTTCAAACTTGGATTCAGGCTATGGGTTAGAACACCACAATGTTCATATTTGGCAGTCTGCTAAGAGACCACCAAATTGTGTTTAATGTGTGTTCAAACTGTGGTAAGAATCTTAACCCTGTTTTTGAATTCTTAATGCTGTTTGAATACAGTGATACAACTTGAAAGTGGTGCAAAGAGTAGAATAGGACTTTCCCATCCTGGTATTGGAGAGACAGTGTATCTCTAGCTTATCACTCTAACAATGTGGCTGGGCAGTTTGTTCTAAACACCCAAATATCAATAATTTCGAGCTTAAAGTAGCAACTGCGTTTCTGGGTTTTTAATCTTGAATGAATCCATAAGAACATAAGAATAGTCACAAAAGAGAGAGGCCCGCTGTTTGGTAGATCCCTCCATATCAGCTCTATTCAAGACGAAAGAGTCAGTTCTTTGAACCATCTGTGTAAGAACATACAGTACCTGTACCACGGGGAATTATATTTCTCTGATCTCTGTCTAGGGAGCACATGAAAGAATTTGGAGGATACAGTAGGTGTTTGTGTCATTGCTGGTTAATCAAATACCTCCATCACTACTGGAGTCACACAGTGTTTTTCACTGATCCAAGGACACTTTTTCTACTTTTGCCTCTGTCATTATGTTTAAATGATCTTAATAATATTGACTGACAGACAAAATAACCTGACAAGGACAAAATTAAAAATAACCTGAAATTACTGAGACAAGTGTTACACTTTGTTATTGGTCTTGAAAAAATGTTTCCTTACATCTCAGCCATGAGGCTAGCAAACCATTTTTTGTTTTTGTTGCACTAGGATTTTTGTTTTTAACTTAATTCTTGCTGCAGGTTATCATACACATTAGGCTGACTGCTTAGATTTCATTTTCTTGTCTTCAAGCCAAAATCAATGTCTGGAAAATGTGCTTTTAATGAATGTGGGAGCTGTGTAATGAGTTGAAAAGCTTCCATGACGTAATCTGATATCACTTCACTAGAAGTGCTGAAACCTAATAATCAATATTTACAATTAAAATATATTTGATGTGCAGGTTGCTGAGATCAGCTTGAAAAAGCAGCAGATTTTTATCTTAAAAAGGAAGCTGACTGATCTGTTTACCAATAAATGTACTCCATAATAAGTGGGGTACTGCTATGATATTTTCTCAAGACACTGAAGGTACAGTAAGATTAGGGACAGTGTCCTGAATTCTGCTCTGAGCTAGGACAGTCTGGCTTCCGTATGGATTCTCCTTTAATTTAACTGGAAATGGTCTCACTGGTCTCACTTCTTTACATTATCTGACGTACACAGGGGCTGCTGTCACAGGATTGCTGGAGGAAATGAAATGGGTCCCGTTCTACTGTATGTGTGAAGCTCTTTGAAATTATTTGGGATTAAAAATGTTGTATGAATCCAGTCAATGATTACTAATTACTTTCATAACAGTAGAAATCACAGGCATTGGTAGAATGCAGTGCTCCCCAGCCCAGGTCCTGCTGCTCCCCTGCATCTGTCTTCATTACAACTTGCCTCTTTATTACTGAGACTAATTCAACACTCGATTGAATCAGATACTTTTTTGAACAATCTCTTTCCTGCACTCCACCTATGGCTTAGAAAATACCCTGCTGTGGGCATCTTGTTGCCAACAAAGTACCAATCTGTTTAATAAATACTTGCTATAACTTTCACAGCAGCTCTTAGCAGCTAACAATGAGATCACCTCAAGCCAACACTTAACACTTAAACATTTAACACTTAAATGCCCTTAAATGCTCTTCCAAGTTTTTGAAGATTGCTGAGAACTGTTGATGGAAAAAAGCCTGGTTAAATGGTTTTATCCAATGGACCAATTAGAACAAGTAATTAAGATCAAAGTTGGACCAAAAGGCAGGGATTATAAGCACTGATGTGAGGGTCATTGCAGAATTAAAGGAACAAGTAAAGGTTTATTATGAAGAAGGCTTCACAGCTGAAACGTTGTGTTTCTTTTCTTCTGTTTTCAGCACGGAAGAAATCTTTACTTGTTCCATTGCAGCCTACGCATGCTGACGCAGCTACCCGCTTGAACTATTCCAGAATTAATACATTCAAAAACACAAAGCAAGAAACAACATCTATGCAGTTATTTGATAATGAGACCGAAAAGTTCACAAGACTAAGAGCAAGTGTAATTGTAGACATCAAGATCATTATCAGACTTGTTTGTGTGTTGTAAATGCTTTGTGATTTTTTTTTGTATCTAGCCTTTCTGTATCTAACTTCCTTGTTGACGTGCGTTATCTTGCTGTCAGTATGGTGCTCTAGATCTGCTTTTCACAAGCACTTCCCCAAGGCCTTTGCATGTGAGCTCTTCTCTTTCTTTATTCCTCTCTCTCTGTAAGTTTTTTAAGCCTTGATCGAATTCGCTGTTAAAGTCTGAGTGCTGTTCTTTTCTGGCAACATAACTAGAGAAAGTACTTACTGTAGGACTGTCCTTAGAAAGGTATACAGTAGGTCACTGTATCACTGTATGAATTTGAAATCATACTGCACATCGCAGCTCACAAGGGCTGTGATGTACAGTACACTTAAGTCGTGGGTTTTTCAAAATAAAAGATAAAAGCAAAGCTAACAATAGAAAATTGGCATTATGGGCTGGATAGACGCCTGTAGTGCTGCCGTATTTCAAATATTGAAGAGAATCAAAGCCTTTTGCCCACGCAGACATCCATCCTGAGGTCTAGTTTAAAAAATAAAAAAAACTATGCTTCCTCTCTTTAGTTAAGTTCCCCTTTTAATTTCTTGTTAAAATATCTCCCGTTTTAAAAATACTTCCTTCTTTCACCTATAAATACACATTTCTTTGATTTTTCATTCATATTAATTAGGAACAAACAGTTCTATTCCTCTTAGGGCTGCCACCTAGATTCCTAAATCCAGGACACTATAAGACAATGCAGTGTATTAAAGCTGCCCCTACAGCTTTAACCTTAAAGACATGACATTTTTCACTCCACATTGCGTATTTCCTAAATTGATTTCCGAGTGGGGAACAGGGCCAGTGTGCACACAGCAGACAAACATGTAGAGGTCAATTCCATGCTGAAAAGTAGAAAGATTTTTTTTTTTCAGAGGCAATCTAGTGAGAAGACACCTGAAGAAGACTTAATAGCTGAAATGTTGTGGGGTGTTTTACATTATGTTGTGGCATTTCCTCATATGTGTTTCTAAATTAGGGGTGTTGCTGTTAATCCAGTTGAAATATAAATTAAAAAATAAAAAGTATCATTAGAACAGTTGGTATTAAAAATCAAGTACTGATGGTTGGGTGGCATGATGGTGCAGTGGTAAGCATTGCTGTGTTGCTGCACTGGGGCCTTGGGTTCAGTTCCTGGGATGCTATCTGTTTGGAAATTTGTATTTTTTCCCTGTGTTTTCATGGCTTTCCTCCAGGTGTTTTGGCACCTTCCCACAGTCCAAATACATGCTGTTAGGTAAATTACAACTTAGCTTCAGGGCAAATTGGCCCTGATGTGAGTGTGTATGTGTTTGTGTGTGCCCTGCAATGGACTGGTATCCCTTACAGGGTATACTCTGCTTTGCATGCATTGCTTTCAGTGCTAGGCTCTGTCTCCTTCATGACCCTGTTTTGGATAAAGCAGTTAGAAAACAGATGGATGGAACGAAACTTGTACAAACAAAAATCAACTATCAGAAATTGAAATAAGGATTTGTAGAAAATAAGTAATAGTTATTAAGCATCAACATTAATTACACTAGGCTCCAGCACCTGTAGAACTTTTATAATAAATCACTTTAGTCTTTCCAGAGCTTTCCAGTCTTCAGAGCTCCAGGTGACAGTCAGTAAAGTAAAGTAATACATTGCACAACAGAGAGTGGGGTGGAAGCTTATTTCCGCTCATGATCTCCCTGGCTTTTGTATATCTTCAGTCCGCAAGTAATCAGAGTGTCTGAACATTGCCTAAGCCTGTGGGATCCCCTTCTGTGTCTGTGTTTCTCCAGCTCCGGCTCCTGGGCTAAAGAAAGTGACACCTCCACCCCCTCCTCCCCCTTCCTCTGCACATCCCAGCAGCCACCCAGCACTACCCCTGAGCTCGCACCCCTCTGTGGCACCCTCTCCTCCAAACCTACCCCCGAGGTACCCAGGAGCAGTGTGAGTATCTGGCAACAGCCTTAAGCTTCCACCCTGGTCTGTGCAATCTTGCCTTCCTGTTTTTAATTTAAGTCAGGTCCTCCTTCCTGGCTTCTTTTGTCACCTTCATTGGCAGCTATTTATATATTCTGTAATGTTTGTAATAAAACAAAAATAACATTTTGAATTTGATCCTACTCGCCCCTCAGGGTGGCTGTAGATGTGTTTCTGTGGCATTTCTGTTCTGTGTTCTGTGTTTCTGTTCCTGGGAATCCACCTCTCCTGCGTTTCTGCTGAGAGAAGGCAGGGAGGGAGAGAACACCCCATTGTAGACTCGTCTCATGGCTGAGCCAGGGCCACCACAGTCATTTGACTGCTATCCAGTCACACTCCCTGTTCACATCCTCGATGAAGTCATTTCCGAGCAAGTTTTGCTGGACTGTGCTGCTATCTATCCACCCGGCCATGCTCAGTGCGATTCCATATTACACAGCTTCTTTCATCCTTTTCTCTAAGCCCCAGGGGTCCTGGATGCAGTAGTGTGGCCAGGCGAGACCAGCGGTCTGCAAGATACACATACCAGGGCAGCCAACCTCTCTGGGGATATTAAAACAGGAGAGTGTTTGAGATCCAAGCACCAACTGAAAGAGATTAAAACATGCCGAGAAGCAGAAGCAGAAAAAACCTTTTTTATCACCAGCAGGCATTTAGTACAAAGCACAAATGTGTACGCTATTGGTACTGTACATCCATCCATCGATCAGTCAGTCAGTCGGTCAATCAATCAACCATTAATTGATTATTGGGGCTTAAATCCTGAGCCTGACAAGGAATTTTGGCCACTAGCATTGTATAAACGTGCATTTTCATTTCAACATGCGTTTCATTTCATTTTTTGATTTGTGAAATTCTATGTGTTTTGCTGCAGGCTTTAATTTTTCTATAATAAATGCTGCACATAAACACGATAAAATACAAAAAGGATAATGTTTGTCAACCGAGTTTGGGCGGCTTAAAAGTTAGGGTTTTCTCCTGACCCCTGCCCTGCCCAGGAGAAGGGTTCCATCATTCCACACCCTAGGGCTGGCAAGCCCAGGACTGTTCATCAGTGAGCAAATTAAATTAATGAATCAAGACAGCTTAAAAAATGTATTTTATAGAGTCAGAAGTGGTTTGAAAGACGTCCAAAGTCCTGACCAGTCTTAAAGTTTACTTGGTGGCAGGTGCAGAATACAACACTTACTGAGGTGCAATGCTGGTGACTTTAGACCTAGACAGGCCAATACTGGTTCGAGATATTTAGAACAGTCTTGCATTTTGCATTAATTAATTAGTCTGATTAAAATAAATACCGGCCTGTTCACATTGTTTCTGTCTCTGCTGCCTTTGTTTTTAAGAAGAGGCTGAGATGATGGTGCTGAAACAGATACAGGAAACTAGGGGCTATTTGTATGCATCTCTGTTTGTCACACATGCTGCTACTCTGTCTTAGTGGGTGACACTTTCATATTCAAGAAAGTTTTCATGCTGATCTAAGAACCAAACGTCAACTTACAGCTGACATTAATCCCTTGGATGCTATTGATATTATGTCTTCTTTGTGCTCAGAGAAATTTTACATTTTAGCTTCTTGTTTGTTTAAAATAGATAGGTTTCAGTGCTGTTTCAAATTTGTTATGTCACACCCTCAGCATGTGCTGTTTGAACAGCTCTGTGTGGGAGAGAGATTTCTGCTTAAAAAGAAAACTAAAGGCAAAATTCAGAGTCATGGATTATTTTTCACTTTTGTATCCTACTGCCATTTGTTTGCTACTGCACGATACACACGAAAGGTAATAATATTATCATACAGTGAAATATTGAATAATTAATCAAGGATAAATTAAATCACTCTTGCCTATAGCAGTACACACTCGCTCTGTCAGTTTTGCTTTCAGGAGGAGCAAAACAGAATGTCTTGTGTTAACTTGTATTTTGTATCTCCCTACTATGACCATTTGTCTCATTTGAATGTTTTACAACCACATTGGAAGAAATTGATATTTTTTAATTAAAAACACCCTGTAAAATAAGAAATAATTTTTAAAAATCAGGAAATTGCCCTTTCTACTTCCTGCCATTATTGTGCACTTCGTTATGATCAGCTCTGGGCTATTAATTATGCCTTTGATAGCTATCAATTGATTTTCATTAGCAACACTAAGGAACATTTCATATCAAGGCATATGCAGTAGCTAACCATTTGGAAAGTGATTTAAAGTAAGTGGTGAGACATGCAAAGGAGCAATTAAAGGTTTATCCCATGCTGAAAAGAGAACATTTCAGCTTTGGAACCTTCTTTGGGTGAAAACTACAATCAGGAAGAGTCTTTAGTTTTCCCTATTGCCAATGAGTCAGTGTTTGTACAAAACAGCACAGATCAGAGGAGAAGTGGCATTCTTTAGGAGTGGCGCATTTGACTGCAGTTCTTGATCCAGATGCATCAACATATAATTAGGCTTTAAATTTTCAACCTAGAACATAATATTGCACAGAACTGCCACACAATCTAATAGTCCATTAAATAACACATATAGTGTGACATATGAGCAGAAATATTTTTCCTTTTTGAATTAACTGGACATGGTTTAGCTTTACTGTTCTCTCAAAGGATGCTCAAATGGATAACAGGAGTTAATGAGCTCAGCTTGTCACCTCAGTTTTCTAGTTGCTTGGCTTCAGGACTGAAAAACGTGTGACCCCAAATCCTGCTTTGAATCTGTTGTAAAATTATTTTTTGTTGTACACTGCATGCACTGTATAGATTATTTTCCATTTCCATGTATAATCATGTCAGCAGTATTGTTGTAAATTTGACACCAATCCAGGCATAGGAAGATACAGTAGTATTACGTTTCCTATGCATTATCCCAGGGCTGCTTTGTCACGCCATTATTTAAACTATTTAAGACCTCTCGGCAGATACTTTATATAATTAATGTTTTAGCACAGTCCAACAATGTTAGTGAAACAAGGTGAGGTTCTCAGCGCTGGGCTAAATGACTCTCAGGAGATTACAAAGACAGTCCTGAACTCTCCATGTGTGCTCAATCAGCTTGTACTCTATAACCAGAAATAAAACTTTTATTTCAGCAGTTATTTATATTTAGTATCTCCACCAATTTTCAGCAAACTGTCAACATGGGTTTCGCTGGGTGTTAGTCCTTTTTAGCCACAAATGCTTTCAATAATAACTGCTCAAATTCCAGTTCGTTCTACATTCATGTAATTGAAATATGAAAATCTTTAATCATGGAAGATTGTTTTCATCAATAAAGTCACACAACAAAATTGCAGCATTGGCATTGTATATGCAAATAATAGTCAGTCTGTAATTTATTCTCATAAAAATCTTTATTTTCTGCTGATTTTTCTGATGTTCATCTTTGCATAGTATAGGTCATTTATCATGACGTAGGTCCATTTGTAGCATAGATATATTTGCATAGTGTAGGTCATTTATCATGACGGAGGTCCATTTGCATAGAATTTGTCAGTTCTGAGTTAGTGAAAGACTACAGTATTTGCAAACTTAATTGACTCCAAAAAGAGGGGATTTAATTTAAAAAAGGTTTTTCTTCAAATTGTGTGGAGACGAAAGCCCCTACCATCTCTTCAAACATCCCTTAATGAGATACAACTCCCCAATTAAGGAAAGACTGGTTCTCCACTGTCAAGCTCTATATTTTTTGTGTGAAGGGTGGTTAGTCACACAACCTTTAGCAGCGAATTACTATTTTCTGTGACTATTTGAAAGGGAAGTAAAACATTCCCTTATTTATGCATTTATCTAACAACAGCTGCAGATTTTCATATTATGCAAAGAGAAAAAAAAACAGAACAGTGCCTTTAGCAATCCACTCATGTGGTGGTGTTGTGTTGCCTGGAAATGGTGTTTATGTGTGTACTAGTATTGACCTTTTATATATACAGTATAGATTCTGCCTTTGTTGATGTTTCTGGGTCGTGGTCCTCAAACCCTGCTGAGCCCTGTGACTTTACCATTTAACCATTATCCTCCCTGACACCAGGCAGATAAAGGTGGATTGAACTTGATTAAAAAGGCAGCAGATTCTGATGTGTTTTCTGTCTGTTTCTTTAGAATCCAGCCTGATCCAGATGAGAACTACGATGACGTTGGTGTCATGAACACACCACCCCCATTGCCGGCGGGCAAACCAGGAGGAGACGGTACTGTGGCTCTTTTGAGTTTGCTCTGATAGAGGGTTTCAGTGAGGGTTTGTTTCTGAATCGTGGGTGTAACTTAGAGTCTGCAGCCTGAGCATCTGTGTTGGGCCCTGCAGCATTCCTAAAAGTGTCTGTAACGGACACGGACTGGAATCCGTGTCGGATCTTGTAGAAGACCCTATGCGATGCGGTAAGAGCTGGAGAAAACAGGAGGCGTGGTAAAAAGGAACACACAGGGGTTTAATAGTGCACAAAATAATAGTGATAGTCCGTGAGACAGTGTACGGGGAAGACAAAACGGCATCCAAATCCAAACGGGTCCAAGGGCAGGTCAAAGCACGGTCCGAAAGTCCATAAACTGGAAATCCATCCTGGAACGCGACAAAGTTAAAGTCCCCGGGAGGGGGGAGCACACAGACAAACGAAACATGGAGGTCCAAGGGTGACGGGGCGAGATCCTCCAGACCCCGGGCTCAGGAAACGGGAGGTGTCGGGGATGAGGCCTATGCCCTCAGGAGACGGACGTTGGGTTTCCTGGTGCTAGGCGGGCCTCGCGACAACTTACCCTAATGATGAGCCCCGAGGACTGGAGGAGCTGCGCTTTAAATAATAACACTAAAAGGGTACACCTGGAGAGCTAAATGACACGAACAATAATGAGAGCAGTGGAGCGCCCTCTAGGGAGGGATGTCGGGCGTGACAGTGTCAGAAATGTGTGTTGTCCTTTTGGACGTATCTGTCCATGGAGAGGAAACTCATCACCCTACAGCAGGAATGTTTTGCTTGGCAACTATGTAGCTTCAAAACAGAAGAACAAAATATTGTAAAATGGCTTAAGCTGGTCAAAGAATCCCCCGGTGATCTTTGTACAGTAACTGAACAGTGAACATCTTTGTACACTAACAGTGGTATTACTGTACAAACATTTAAAGCAACTGAGGAACTGCTGCTTCCTCTAAAGTCTGCAGGGCGTGGAGTAAAGATCACTTTTAAAAACAGCAAATAGTGTCCCCTTACAGTATATGGAAATAGAAAATGTATGGAAATGTACAGTATGGGCATGCTCAGAGGTGCAGAGGAGTTTGTTTTTTGACTGAGTTTTTTCTATTTTTAAGCCATATTTACAGTATAACAAAATGTAAATCATCATTCTTGACTGCTCTTTTTTCAGTTTGCTTCAGGACCTTTTCAGAGCTTACTGTAGATGTTTCATTCCTACAAATCTCTTGTTTGGTTGCATCAACTTTTCTGAGATTATACCTTCTGGTTTCCATCTGTCTGGCAGCAGTATTAGGTTTAGCCACTGGTACTGTATTCGGGTGATGGAGCAAGGCTCTCTCCCAAAGTTTCTTTCAGATTTCAACCCCCTCTGATCCCAATCCAACTGCAACTCCTTTTGGTCAGACTTAATACCTGAATGGTACCTACATCAATACAAAATGATCTTGGGCCTAAATCTAAATATCTTAGACAGCACCATTACAGGAATCTCTCGAGTGACATACTGTACTGCGGGAATCCCTTTTTTGTTGTGTTTCAAAGTAGCAAACGGTGGTCAGGAGAATATTTGAGCGTGGTTTGGCCTTTAATTTTCCATTCCTGTGTTGGGACAAGGCTGGTTGGCTACATCTCCCTTTTGCTGCAATAATATGCTTATCTGCATAAAAATGAAAAAAGAAAAACTTGATAGATGCCTATACATTTTATTTACAAATAAACCTAAATACAAATAGTTTGTTTTCTTTCACCTGCCTGTGAAATCTGAATACATGTGTTTTGAACTTTGTTATGCTTGTAAAAGCTCCCATCAGACAGATTTCAAAGATTTATGCTCCAGTACAAATGTATTACAGCTAAAATTGTTTTTAGAGGACTGAAAAAACAATCATTGAATTTTTTAACCTACAGTAGATTGCCTCCTCAGAATTGAACACTTTTAAATACATGCTGGAGAAAATCAGACCAAACCTTTGCTGTGGACTAATTTTTTATTATTATTTTGTTAATTTAAGCTATAATTATGCTGTTTAATCCTAATTGTCATCACAGATAATATGGTATCCCCCTCTGTGCATTTATTTTTAGGGTGTTAATCCAGGTTGAGCATTTAATGGCAGGGCATTAATTCATGATGGATTTTTATTTTACAGGGCATCCTGGACAGGACCAGGTAGGAGATTGTCTTCCTGCTGGCTGAGATTATTGGAAATCACCATGACAGAGTTGTACTAATTTGCAGTAAAATGTAAATGTCTTCTGCTGAAAATAGAACTGGCTATGAAAAGACGTGAAAGTGTAGAAAAAATAGACTGCTGAAAAAAGGAAGGAATTCAATAAGTTGAATAAGAGATTTTTCAACAAAGTGTAAAACCCTGCATGTAGCTTTTACATTCAAGACCATGAGCCAGTTAAAAGTTGCAAACACACAAAAAACTTTAGTCAAATGTATCTTGAGCAAAATAAAAATACGTTTTAAAAACATACAGTAAGCATAAGAGAATGGAAACTGTGGTGTTTATGAATTAGATTATTTTTCCTACCTTTGTAATTATTAATTCTATATATTTTTTATTTTCTGCCTTAAACCTAGAAGATGCTCCAAGAGGTGCAACAGTTTGGTATAAAATTAACATTTAGGCAACAGATACAGAGTATGAAAATGCACTCAGACAGCAGAAAGACAGTCCATGTTTAATTTTATGATCGGCATTAGATTTACTTCCTAAAGTAAATCCTACTTTCTTACACTCAACCACTGTAACAGCTGCAAGCTCACATTTAATTTTATCTGCCGTGCCAACACCCCCGAAGCAAGCTTGTTCATCTGGCGTAAGAGTAACAATTAACGACAAATAACTACAGTTCATTTCAGGCATTTAGGAACAAAATCTGTATCTTGTAGTTTCGGATATGTGGGGAGCAACTGTTCTTGTGAAAATATACAGTATTACGGTCCAACTGCAGTGAGTCTTGTTTCCCTTTAAAAGGAAGATGGGAGTGATGGGGAAATGTATGAGGACCTGGAAGAGCGATGGTAAATACTCTCCCTTTTTTATTTTGCTCTGTGTCCTGTTAAAAATTGGTCCTGATTCTTACTATATTTCACTATCTCCAATTCTTGGTAATGATAATGTTTTTTAATGTTCTTTTAAATACATTGGATTGACTAAGCTATAATGAAGAGCCCAACACAAGGACGTAGACTGACCTGTCTTCTCTGTCCAGCTAAACCCCTATTTAATTGATGGTCCAGTCTTATTATCACCAGTGTAGTGCACAAATCCCAGATCACGCTCCATGAGGGACTCAGACCAGCAGAATTTCTGTGGAGAAGAGCTTTGTTGGTCCATTTAATCTTGAAATGCTACACAATTATATCTGTCTGGAACCTAGGCTTTAGCAACAATTTTGCATACTGTAGGGTTTGCACATCCATTTATAATCTCCTTATAACCCATGATACATGTAGAGAACACTGATACAGTCTCAGTGACCTGATAGTAAAATATTGTAACGCTTACGGCCGACAGGCACTGTGTAAGAGCCGGCGTACCAGAGCGGGTGACGTCACCGCCCTTCCCTGTGATAGCAGGACTACAGCTACTGGGCTGT